TGCCTGTATATATGTGGTCCCTGCCAGATATCTTTATTAAAGTGTTGCAGAATACTGGAATTATTAGTATAGTTATGGCATATTATATGCATGGTTTGTATCCTTCAACAATAACCTTTCCTTCTAAACTCTATTTTTTTCAGGGTGGGGGCGTAGGTAGTTATTTCCTTTTTTTTTTTTCATCTTTATAAGTTTGTGTTTCAACAACTCCTCCAACCTGGTATGTTCAAGGTATTTTATATGACTATTGCAATCAGCCTTAGCTAACTGTCATAAGTTATCTGGGGAAAATTGAAACTGGAGTTTCACATATTTGAGAATAGCAGTTTGGACCAGTATCCCTAATATAAAATTTATGTCACAAACAGCAAAGGGGAAAAAAATAGAATGACAAATCTATTACAAGTTTTTGTATGAGTAGAGTTTCATGCTCTTCCAAAATAGACTGCATTACAGCACAAACAAAAGGCACTGAATGGAGACTGCTAGCCTCTATCTCTATTCAAACTGTACAGAAGAATTGGTTCTTTCTGAAAAAATGAATACAAAAGCCATGTCCATAAGTGTATTATCAAAGAAACGAACAAGAAAAGAACCACTTTATATTTGGGAAAAAAGTATATGATTAACAATCTCTATATCAAAATTTTATAGAGCAAAAGCAAAGCAACATCAAACACTGTAAAACCAATATGAGCCAAAATTATATAGGATTAAGATGTTGGGCTGATAGCAGGACAGGTTCAAGTTCATCCCTCAACAACATGGGCTTCCTGGATGACTCTGGGGAGTCACACTTTCTTAGCTGACTATATCTCATAGGGTTGTTATTGGGAGAAGAAAATGCAATGCCACCTTCAGCTTCTAAAGAAAAGCCATGAAAATATACATACACTTATGCACACGTGCATTTCTATCTGCTGAATAGGGTTCGAAGAGGATATATGTTGAAAGCCTTCCTGTAAGGAGATACAATATGAAGATTGGTGTTCTCAGTGCTTGCCCTCTTTTTAAAAAGAACTTAGCTCAAGAATGGTCTTCACCCTTTTTTGGCCTTCTGTAGAAACCTTTGGATATTAAACAGTTTGAGCAAGATCTGCTTCAAATATTGCCTTGTTATGTTTATGGTTTATTGTTTTATTAGGTTTATAGTTTTTATATTACTGCTCTTCTGCACTGTTGTCTCCAATTCAAGTCTGACCATGGTACTGAGGTCAATGAAGGACATCAGGTACAAGGTGCAGCTTTTGTTTCCTTTTATTGAAGCTTATTGAAGCACTCCAAGAAAAGGAGTCCTGGCCAAAATGCCAAGAACCCAGAAAAAAAAGATTAAGAAAGCTTTATATATTTTCACTAAAGCAGAAGGCAGGCTAAGGCGAGATATTTGAGAAATATCATCTAATAAACATCTAACAATTATTCTATTGGTCTCTAGCCATCCCTAATCATAGGTCTTAGCTAATGAATGCTTCAGGAGTTATCTAATACACGTTCTATTTGCTCCTGGCCATCTCTATTCCTAATTTCTAGCTGAGGCCTAATTTCTAATTTCTAGCTGAGGCCTAATTTCTAGCTGAGGCTCTTCGTTACTTTCTAACCACACAGCTTTCTAACCACACAGAATTACAAGCTTTACACCTGCATATTCCCTGTGAATAAGAATTCTTTGTTCTTGCCAGACAAACTCCACAGTTACAGGCTTCCTGGTCTCCTTTTAAGTGTATGCCATAGCCAGCATATCCACATTTTTTATCATTTAAGTTGTTTTCAGGCCGACCTGACTCTAAGACAACCTAAGAAATCCTGTAGAAAAATATTTTGGCAACAGCTTGCAATTGTTCTTCCTTGTTGTTGTCCTCTTCTACATTTTCTTTCCAGGAAAGTAATTCCCAACAATGTTCCTTCCTCTAGGTGTATTCCTGGGCATATATATTTGTATGTGTTTGTGCTTGGGGTCATGTACACACATACACAAACATCAAATACACTTAAACTTACTGAAACTTTATTTAATAAACTTAAATATATGTGTATATATGTTTGTGTACACACATACAAACATAAAGCATCAAAAATGCATGTGCATGTATAAAAATACTTTTTTATATATAAATATAAATATAAAATAAATTTAAATATAACAGAATAAAAATACTTTTTTTATTCTGTTATATTTTTCTCATGCTGCTTAGAATCATGATTACAATGACTGCTATACTTTCACTGTGGCTAAAGCCCTTACCTTCTGAATAGTAGGTTGCCGGTTCAAAACTTGGTATAATTTATTTTTAATACTAATTTTTTTTCTTTGAGCTTTTTATCTTTACCTGCTAGGTACCTGTATAGTTGGCAATATATCCAGTGGTACACCAGACATAAAAGAGATGGGGGCAGGGGTGGAATCCCTTTTTTTAAAAAAAAAAAAATGAAAGAGTAAAAATAGTAATTAAAAAAAATCTGCCAGCTTTATAATCAGCAATATTCTATTTATAAAGCAGGAGTTGCAACCATTATGTTATTACAGAAATGGTATATGCAGACTTACAAGGAAAGTGAAAGCATTGGTAAGCACAGAGTCAGTTGAAGAGGCATTATTTTCTCTACAGAGTAGTCAATGAACTGCTGACATGTGTTATCTGAAATGCACTTGAGGCAACATAAAATGGAAAAGTGTATTTTAGAACAAAAAACAAGTCCTGGGGTCATCTTAACAGAGAGTAGAGGATTAATAGAAGGCAATGTTATCGGATTCTGTACTCCAGAAATAGTTGCCTTCCCATTCTTCCAGTAGGGACACTGGAAAAGGAGACTCAAGAGTGTCAAGAAAAGGTTCTTCTGGAATAAATGAGACAATTGATGCTCTCATCCAATACTTGGACAAAGCAGTGGGCTGAATTAGAGTCATTAATCTGAGATACAGGACAGACAAAAAATATTCCTTGTGAATGAGAGTCAATCCATCATTACCTCCAGTAGCATTTTGGACAGAGTGCTGGTTAATTTAGTATTCTATACCAGCCAGTTAGCTACTTTCCAGAAAGAATCTTTTCCATAGTCCAGCACACAGCTCATTTGATTTATTTTACTGTGTTAAGCATGGGATTGTCTTTGCGGGGGGAAGAAGTCTGACAATTTCAAGTTGGGGGATGTTTGGAGGAGGAAGGGTTTATTTTTATTTTTTAAGTAGGAAAAAAAACCTGTTAAATGGAAATAACTAAGATGATTGTACTTTGCACTTTGGAGTTTGACAACTACACTAACCATCAGTTTGAACTGGTATGAAATATGGTGCTGATTTTTAGCTGAAAGACATATATGGATTGGATCCAGGCTGCCAGTTTATCCTGTAACCCCCCCCCCACCCAATCCCTGGTATATCTTAAGATATTAGGTCATTGTTCTTCCTCTGTCCAAAGTTCCTGCTACTGCAGATCTTGGACATCTTTAGTAGAATAACTTCCTAAGAAAAACTTGCCTAATATTCGAGTCTTTGGAGCACAAATGATTTTTTCCCCTCCCAATCCTCTAATATCCTTGCTTGCATATTCTTAGGTCTTATACTTTTTTCCCTGCAGCTTCTGCTAGCTTTAAATTTGGTTTATGTGTTGCTGATGGTTTTCAACTCCTATTGTTAATATTTTTGTATAGTTTTGCTGTCATTGTTTTATAATTTTGTGTTATAGATGTTTCATGCACCTGCATACCACTCATCCAGAGTATAGAATAGAATAGAATAGAATAGAATAGAATAGAATAGAATAGAATAGAATAGAATAGAATAGAATAGAATACTTTATTGGCCAAGTGTGATTGGACACACAAGGAACTTGTCTTGGTGTAAATACTCTCAGTATACATATAACAAAAGATATATTAATTAAGATTTGAGAATCATAAGGTACAACACTTAATGATAGTCATAGGGTACAATAAGCAATCAAATCATACTAGGAAACAGTCAATATAAATCATAAGTATACAAGTGACAAAGTTACAGTCATACAGTCACAAGTAGGAGGGGATGGGTGATAAGGAGATTATCTGAGAAGATTACTGAGAAGATTAACAGTAATAGTAGTGCAGACTTTGTAATAGTTGAACAGTGTTGAGGGAATTATTTGTTTAGCAGAGTGATGGCTTTCAGGAAAAAACTGTTCTTGTGTTTAGTTGTTCTGGTGTGCAGTGCTCTATAGCGTCGTTTTGAGGGAAGGAGTTGAAACAGTTTATGTCCTGGATGTGAGAGGTCTGTAAATATTTTCACAGCCCTCTTTTTGACTCGTACAGTATACAGGTCCTCGATTGAAGGCAGGTTGGTAGTAATTGTTTTTTCTGCAGTCCTAATTATCCTCTGAAGTCTGTGTCTGTCCTGTTGGTTTTCAGAACCAAACCAGACAGTTATAGAGGTGCAGATGATAGACTCAATAATTCCTCTGTAGAACTTGATTATTTTATATGGAAAGTACAATAATTAATAAAAGATAGAAAATGGCTTTTAAAAAGAAGAAAGAAACATCTATCATAAACATCCTGCACACTTCAAAATATTCCGGGCAATATGCTATGGTTCACATATAGGATTCTAGCTTAATGTTAAGTTTCCTTCTTGCCCCACTTGAACTGTGAATACGGCTTATGATATACAAAAACATCCCTGTGATTACACAGTTTGGAACTTTGGTAATGATAAAATTGGGCATTTGGTTTTTTTTAAATAAATCATATTAGTTTTCTGCAACCCACAGAATTATTTGGCCCTTTGCTTGAAAGCTATTATGTTTGAGCAACAGATAGATAACCACAAGGAACAGTCCCTCACAATGGTGGGAAATTGTGCTACTGCTCCTTTATATGTAGATCTGTTAAACTTGGTAAAACCATAGTAAAAGTTCATTCATGTGGTTCTTTCTAAACTGCTACAGGTATTTATCTGAACAGATTATGTTACGAAGCAAAAGATGTAACACTTATATACCTGACAACATATAATTATTTCCTTGCAGCTGATACAAACTGTTAGTGCTGTGGATAAAGATGAACCACCACGTGGACACAAATTTTTTTTTGAACTAGTGCCAGAGTACACAGTCCATCCAAACTTCTCTATTGTGGATAATAAAGGTAGGCTTTAATTATAGGTTCTCTATGTTATATAATGATTCCTTTGCTGACAATGTTTTAAATATAATTTTCCATGTCTTTGGTTCTTCTGGTACAGATAACACAGCAGGCGTTGTAACCAGACGGAATGGATATAGCCGCAATAAAATGAGTACCTATCTCCTGCCAGTAATAATATTTGACAATGACTACCCCATCCAGAGCAGTACAGGCACACTGAGCATCAAAGTGTGTGCCTGTGACAGCAGGGGAAATATGCAGTCTTGTAATGCTGAAGCTTTGCTCCTTCCGGCAGGCCTTAGCACAGGTGCACTCATTGCCATTCTGCTGTGCATTATTATTCTGTTGAGTAAGTGGACCATTTCCTTTTTCCTTCTTTGTACCTGGATATTGTTTCAAAGAGACTACATTTTCAGAAGAATTCACTATCTCCTTAATCCAGGCCAGGACTGTCAAACTTGCAGCCCATGGCCGGGAGGCATCACACGCTCACCATGCCTGGTTTAGTGAAGGGGAAAAAAGTCCCAATACATCACGTGATGCGAGTTTGACACTCCTGATCCAGGCTTTCACAAACAGTAAGTTCTCCAGGATTTAGGTGCTGGAGAACTCTCAGTCTTGTAAAGCCAAGGATGCAGCACAATCCCAAGATTGGCTGAGATACTGGTGGACTACCATACATAGAATGGTAAGTTCTCCAGCATTTAGGTGCTGGAGAATTCTTCGTCTTGCAAAATCAAGCTTGTTGGCTTAGTTATTGCAAGCCGATTGGTCTTATTTAAAGATTGGTTTTAAAATGGAATATTTCTAAAGATAGTTCTGATACTGATGTTGGCATGACCCAGATGTCATTTTTATATTCAACAGTAATGTAGTACTCATTTTATTTCTGATTGATATCTCATTTCAAATCTCTACAGTTTCAAAAAAAAAAAAAAAACATTGAGATTCCGCCAGATACTTAATGTGTAAACAATTTTGTTCATTAGTACTGCATGTTCTAAGGTCCCTGGTAGATGAGAACTGCTGTTGATAGCAATAAATTGCTGATTGCTAGGAATTAAAGTTGGTATTTTTTTAAAAAAAATAGTTATTTAGATTTATCACCTGCTATTTCTCTAGAGGTTCAAGGCAACTTATGTCAGGATCTCCTTTCATCTCATGAAGATAGTTTTACTCAGTGATAAATCTCCCAAAATCAGCTGTTTATCACACTGGTGATATTTGTATTACTAAAATCAAAACCCCATCATTATTCTTATTGCAAAACAGACATCCATTTACTCTTTAAAATAATCACATGTTATATATTGTACAATTGTTAAAGTTCAAGATCCCATCTGGTTAACTGGTATCAAAAATCACTATATTTGTTACACTGAATTATTGCACCTCAGATGACTATGGAATGCACCTGAGTTTTACTCTCTAATCATCCTGACCTCCATGAATTCAACTATACATTTCACTATGGAATCTGAGTGTTTGGTTTATTAAAATGTCAGATGACACCAAAATTGATTCTCACACTCAGAAGTTTTAAATATAATTTTTCATGTCTTTGGTTCTTCTGGTTTGTTGAAATTGAAAGTTCATTTTCTGTAAATATAAAATTTTAATAGGAAAAGTTAAAAGGTGTGCTCAAAAAGGAAAAAAAAACCTGATGGAGAATAGAATCAAAACAGTTTGAATTGTTTTGTGATGATATTGATAGTGTTGTGTGTTGGATGGAAAGACATGAGACACGTGGTAGCTCAGTGGCTTAATGATGCTGGAGATGATTTCAGCTTTGGCAGTTCAAACCTAGGCACAGCATGGGAGGGTAAGCTCTTGTCGCCCACATCAGCTTCTGTCCACCTAACAGTTTGAAAGTATATTCTGTGCAAGTAGATAGATAGGTACCACATCAGTAGGGAGATGAGCTGGTGCTCTGTGCAGGCAGTCAGATTTCGGATGGTTCTGACTTTTCCTGGTTGCAGTGCCCTCTTGCGAGGCAGTTCTGAAAAGGGAGGGGACCTTGGTGGACGCTACAGGAAGACCCGCTCATTTTTCTCTCTGGTGTGAACATATCCTCCTGTGGTACACTTTGGGAAGCATGCAAACTTGTCCTATAACAGGTCTGATCCCTTGGCAAGCCAGACTACTCTTGTGCCATAACATTGTGGTATCCTGGCTACTATAATAATGCTATTCACTAATAATAATAATGATGGAAAGATATAGCAACAATCAATATATATAACTGTTGAAGGATTTCAAAATACACTGTCAGATTACATTTTTGGAGATCATGCAAAAGTTCATAAAGCATCCAAATAGTCATAGTCATGAGATAGCATGATGTTGTTTTTAAACCAAGCTGTTAAAACCTGTTCTTTAAATAAAGTGCCAATCTTTAAGTATGACACTTGATGTTATTTCTCCTTATAACAACGATGAAAAATACTAGAGGAAGCTGACTGTGTAAACTAAAGAGCTGCTGTGAACTCACTCTGTAGATAAGACAGAAAAAGAATCCTGCTATTATTCCAACAAGCATTGTGAGGGTCCTTCCCCGCTCTTCTGAAATCACTGCTCCATTCAAACATTCTGAACAGAATAGACCAGACCAGATAAGCCACCCGCATTTATTAGTCAATTTATTTCTGCAACATTTTAAATGATTCTCAGTACATTGAAAGCTTTCTTTGGGCATTTGTTATCTATGGTTACGAAATATACAAAAGGACTCTCAAGAATGTGGCACCTGCTGCTATTGTCTAAATATACACATATGCAACCATAATCATAGATGACCTGACCACTAGTGTTTCCAGGATTCTCCTTTTGCCCTAATGGAAATAGTTATGAGGGAAATTGCTAGGAAGGCTGGGGAAAAGAAGGAAATTAAGAAGATCCAGACAAGGAATGTGGATGCATGGAAAAAGGGGGGCGGGGAAACTACTTTACAAGTTTTGATTTATAAAAGAATTGGTAAAAAGCAAACCTAGGCCAAAGTTGATATACTGATATTTGGGGGAAATTGAAAGCAGGTTTCAAGAGAGCTTACCCCCAAATAAAACAAATATTTCAATACACAGAAAGCAGATAAAAACTATTGTGTACAGAATGGAAAGTATAGACAGCATATAACAGTTGACAACATGTTGAATGGAAAATAGAATACATTGGGTCCATTTTGACATGGATTGTTTTAATAATTTTATTTTAAAACTAAGATTTCAAAAAAGATGGCCCTTATTATCCAGATAACAGATAATGAGACCTTGAAAAAGAATTCATTTCTACCATTTTGCAGATTTAAATAATATAAAAAGCACTCCAAAAGAGTCCTTCAAACAGAATCACATAACAAAAATGCAGGTAAACAACATGTTTTACTAATCATAGCTATGGTAATTCTGTTGTGTATTTACCAATTAACTATGTATACATAAAACTTCAATTAACAATTGTATATAATATATGAGAAAACAATCATATCATTCTATGTATTTCTTTTAAAAAGAGTGGAATATGGATTGGAGAGGCATAGTTCACCTGATTAAGGTGAGAATATGCCATTATTTTAGAAAAGAGGAAAAGTCAATTTATTTTTAGGTGTAGTGGAGAAAATATATAGCTTTTTAAAAAGTTATCTATGCCTTAAAATGCTTGTATTGCTTTTCTTTTCTTTTATTTAATTTCCTGGCTTGGCCTTATCCTATTTTCTGAATTGCCCTACTCATCCCATGGCAGTACTTATGGTAGTAATTCTGACATTTCTCCAGAATTTCAAATATGCCTTCAGAACCAAAAGGTTACCTGTTTTTAGGTTCTAGGGTATAGCAATAGCAATTGCACTTAGACTTATATACCATTTCACAGTGCTTTACATCCCTCTCTAAGCAGTTTACAGAGTCAGCATATTGCCCCCAATAATTTGGATCCTTATTTTACTCACCTCAGAAGGATGGAAGGCTCAGTCAACTTTAAGCCTGATGAGATTCGAACTGCCAAATTTCAGGCAGCTGGCAGTCAGCAGAAGTAGCCTGTAGTATTGAACTCTAATCACTGCGCCACCACGGCTCATAAGTATGTGTACTGTAAATATCATATGTATTAATCTTGCTCACTATTCATGCTTGATCAGTGTCAGATTGAAACAAAATCTTATGCACATATTAAGATATACAATTCATCCCATGAAAGTGGGAATCTGGTTTAAAGATTAAAGTTCTTGCTCCAATGGATAAATCATAACATGCCTGAGAACCTCCTTTGCTCTGGGCTCAAAAATACAGTGCATTCAAAAAGTATTCAGACTCCCTTCACTTTTCTCAATTTTGTTATGCTGCAGCCTAATTCTACAGTTGTTGAAATTCATTTTTTTCTCTCATTAATCTAATCAGTAGCCCTTAATGACAAAGTGAAAATAGAATTTTAGAAATCAGGCTGCAGCATAACAAAATTGACAAAGGTGAAGGGGATCTGAATACTTTCTGAATGCACTATAAATATATTCTGGTTAGATTAATCATTTTAACAAGCCCACTCATATGTTGGCCATTATATCTCCAAACAATATATAAAGAATAATCCCTGCAGTTTATTCTATATTGATAAAGAAGCTCTTTTCAATGAGCTTTTCTTTTTAACTCCCTTCATTTAATTAAGAGAGTAATATGTATCTTAATCTTACTTGTTGTAATTAATGAATGTTAAAGGTTCTTAGCTTTGCCAACATTGTTCCTAATCCACTAATTTCCTACTCAGTGCTCAATACCCATCTGTATTGTTACTGTTGTCTTCCAGTTTTGGTTGTGTTGTTTGCTGCAATGAAGCACCAGAGGAAAAAAGAGCCCTTGATCATTTCAAAAGATGATGTCCGAGACAACATTGTCACCTATAATGATGAAGGAGGTGGGGAGGAAGATACCCAAGCCTTTGATATTGGCACTCTAAGGAACCCTGAAGCCAGAGAAGAAAGCAAAATGAGAAGAGATGTGATGCCAGAAACTATTTTCCAGATAAGGAGGACAGCATCTTTGTGGGAAAACATTGATATTCAAGATTTTATCCATCGGAGACTAAAGGATAATGACTTGGATCCAACTGCACCCCCTTATGACTCTTTAGCAACATATGCCTATGAGGGGAATGATTCTATAGCAAATTCACTTAGTTCTTTGGAATCACTTACTGCAGATGGTGGAAATCAAGACTATGACTATCTGAGTGACTGGGGGCCACGATTTAAAAAATTAGCAGATATGTATGGTGGAGATGAGAGTGACCAGGACTAACTGCCTCCTTCAAGATTTCTGATGCAGCTCCAGCATTCTTGTGCATGAGCAGGGACCTCCCCTCCTCTCCCCTCCCCTCCTCTCTTCTCCATTCTCTCCTTTTTGTTTTCCTGAGTGAGGAGGCCAGGCAGCGGCCTTGTGTAGACAGTCTCATGATATGCACATGGAATATTCCTTGTAACTATAGAGACCGGGTAGGGGGAGATGTCCTACATGGAAGGAGCACCTCATTGATGTTGGAGATTCTTGGATCACGGCCTGAAAATAGTATTTTCTGAGTGGGTGCTTGCTGATGAGATCAATGCCTCTGTAATTAGATTAAAGTGGCCTATATTCTCTTACTTGGAAACAAACAAACAAACAAAACATAAGTGTGTGTTTTAGTAAAAGTTTGCTTAATAAGTCAGTGTGAATGAAAATAACTGTTTTTTAAGACAGAAGTAATATCTCATCCTTTTTGTCTAAGAGGTTAGAAAAAGGATATTCATTATTAATTGGGGTGGGTGGATAAATATCTTTAAAAGGCTTTTTGTGCCTTTCAGAAGGACTTTTGGGAACACAACTTTTTTTAAAAAAAAATAACACTTCACTTTCCTTGCTACTGTCCCCTATACTGTCCTCTATCCAATAACATAAACTGATTACTCCTTTAAAAAAATAAGAATGAATATTACTGCCATATTTATTGAGTTAAAAATGTATGTGTTGATTCATATTTTTCTATCTATCTATACAAATATAAATATGTATATTTATATTTTTGTATTTTTATTAAATAAATTAGAATTTATGAATAGATTATGTTTTCATTTACTTCTGCTTTGTGTGGTCTTTACTCATACCTGTGTAGTATGTTTCAAGTTGAGTGAAAGGATGTTTCCATGCAGACTCTGTTTTTGCCCTGAAAACCATTTTCAGACTAGATGATGGTTCTTATCGCAATGGTCTTCCTCAAAACACTTGATGAGGAAAGTATGACTTCACATCCAACAGCACTTGTCTCCATCAATGGATCTGATTACTTTTCATGTTACCTTTTGTGATTTCCATGTCATGCAGTAGTTTATTATAGCAATAGATGTATATACTGTTTCATAGTGCTTTACAGCTCTCTCTAAGTGGTTTACAGCATCAGCATATTGCCAACAATCTGGGTCCTCATTTTACCAACCTTGGAAGGATGGAAGGCTGAGTCAAACTTGAGCTTCGAACTGCTGGACTGCAGTCAGCAGTAAGCAGAAGTAGCCTGCAGTACTGTATTCTAACTACTGTGCCACCGTGGCTCATTATGAAGATGTTTTCAAAAATCCTTCACCCCATCGCTCATTTTAAAGATAATACAGATAATCTTTGTTTAATGACTACAATTGGAACCGTCAATTTGGTGTTCAAGCAAAGTTATTCCTAAATGAAAACCCAACTGTGCTTATGATTGTACTTTAGCTTTCATTTGCTTTCCAGACCTGTAATGATCATAAATGCCAGGATTGATTGGCCTTGCTCTTGAGACAGAGAGGAGAGAATATACTTTGGCAGCAATTTAGTCCTGTGAAATGGAGACAGAAATTAACTTTGCTGCCCAGTCGAGATGGAAGATGTGATCACATGACCTCAGAAACAGTGCTGGGGTGACAATATTTCTGCAAATGGAAAGGCCTTAGCTATGTTTAGAGAACATTCCTGACAAATATTAAGATTTAAATTAATCAAATCTAATTAGTAAGGGACAGAGTGAAACAACCTTCCCCCTTCCATGAATCAATTTAATTACACTCATTACTAGGCTAAAAACAAAGGCTCTTTTAATAGATGTGTGATGACGAACATTCAGATAAGTTCCAGCACATTTATTACATTTTGATTGACATTTCTGATACAGAGTTTAAAACAGCATAGATGGTTCTCCATCTGCTCCCCATCCCATAATTCTCCCACCAATAGAACCTAAAACTTGGAGGGCCTCTGAACACTGCATTTATTCTGTTTATCACTTAACCGGCACCACGCAACAACCAGAATGTGGGGGTCAGATTGCAAAATTGTTTCAATCAATAAAACTGTAAAACATTAACCTATATTATCGAAGAACACAGAAAGGATTTCAGTATATGTATGTGTGTGCAAAAAGATAGATAAGCACACACTCAAAGACACAAGCTTCCCAGAACAATGTGGAGTAATATAAAATCAAACCTGAGTATAGGTTTTGTGGATGCTTTGTTCCTCCTTGTAACTTAGCTCTATTTGTTGCAATTATTCTGACATGTCTGTATACTAATGATCACTTCTCTTCTAATTTTAGAGGGAGAGACCCCTTCCTTCCTTCCTTCCTTCCTTCCTTCCTTCCTTCCTTCCTTCCTTCTCTCCATCTCTGCTTGCTTGCCTGCCTCTATCATTTCTGCTTCTTTCTTGATTTTGGCCAATAATAATGTGGAATTACCAGAGCCACTATTTTCAGTCTTTCAGATGACAGGAAGAATTTGGGAGCATTAACCCTCTACAATAGAGGTGTCAAATTGATGGCCTTTGGACCAGATGTGTCACACACAGGCCACGGCAACCCTGGCTTTACAAAGGAAAAAAAAAGTCACAATACGTCATGTGACTCAATCGAGTTTGACGCACGTGCTCCACAATGTTTAAAATACTCATTTCATTTCTTTAAAATCTCCTTAATATCTTTGTTAATAAATTTATAAAACACTTACTAATTGACACCAACTACTGGAGATTTTTGCGGGACAAAGAAAGAAAAAAGGCTATAGGCCATAGGTTGTGTTTTTATAATGTACACTACAGTGTTTTCCAGATCGGTTGAACTACAGTTTCCCAAATCCCTTTCTCCTTCAGACTGATATCTTCCACATCTGTATATGTGTGTGTATGCATGTGCACGTACATGCTACAGTAGTATGTACATTACTTTCAGGCTCAACAGACAATGATCTGCCCATGACAAAGGGGGATGTTAATGTCCCATAACACCCAAATCACATCACCACCACACCATTTGACCCTACTGTGAAACCATGAAATTTGTGCTGCTTTCAAATCTACCTACAGGAAGGGCAGACTGAAGTCACCTAGAATCATATGCCTGAGGAAGAACATTGCCAAACCTGAGACAGCATCAAGCCTCATAAGCAGGGATATTGTAATATAGCAAAGAGCCTAGCACAGTAACATAACTCTCTGCTGGTCCTCATGTGCTGACAAAATCATCCTCAGTATGTTCACAGCCACCATCTTTGGAGGGGGGGGGCTTATCTATTTTGTCATTACACAAGCCCATCCCTTCTTTGTGATAGCTATTTTCCAAGAAGATTTTAAAAGTCTGCATGGAACACCAGATTGCCACATATTTCAAACGATCTGTCAGAATACTTCTTACCCTCCCCCCCTCTTTTGAGTTAGACCAGAAAAATCATTCTGTCTTGTAGTATCAAGGTCGGGTTCACATAACTCATTCTGTATGGTTCTGCTTTTGAAGACAGTTCAGAGGATGTAACTACTGGAGAATATTTTAGTTCACTAGGAATATTGCATTGAGAAAGAAATAATGAAGAAGGACATCTCTTATTTTAAAAATAAACTTCATGATAGGGTCAGTAATGGCTTATACATAGAATTATTGCTGTTTGCTGAAAAAGACAGGGCAGCTTTGAAATGCAGAAAAAAACTTAATATTAACACATTCCGTACAGCAATAAACATTCCAGGAAATAATGGTATCATGGGTAGAATTCCTCCAAGTCCATAGCAACACTGTTAGCAAATCACTTGCTTCTTCTGTATAATAAATCTCCAAACTATTAAAAACAAAACATTTTTTTCAACACATAGTCAGTCATCTACCTGGGTACTTGAACTAAATTCCATGATAATACTATTTCTAATTTTACATGAGGAATGATTGTATAATTAACCATTAACTACTCATGCTTTTTTCTGAACTGTCCCCAACTAAGATATGCTAGCCTTTTTTAAAACCATCTTTATCCCTCAGGTAGCATATCTTCCCTAGCAGTTGGTGAAAACATTTTGGGCAATTATCTGAATAGGTATTTGAAGCGTCTTCAATTTTCTTGGTGCAGACAAAGTAAACCTCCAAAATTCTAAAAAGGCAAGGCAGGACATTGTAGCTTGTATCTCTGTCATCCATTAGCCAGAAACATTATGCAGGCCAGTTCCAGATTTAAAAGTGCCACAGACAAGGATCCTTCTTTGTGATACTTGTCTGTATTTTTGAGGACCTTATTTTGTAATGCATTAGTGCCATTTTGACAATTTTGATAGATGAGATGTATATGTGATTTACTAAAGTTGTGCAAGAGCCAAACAACATGTAATATTAATAATTATTATTGCTGTAAATAGCAGGCTTATGGAGGATAGTAAGGAGCATGGCATTTAGAGTAATAATCAATAACTTTCTGTCCAGAGATTCCCTGTATTCTGATCATTGTCATCCCATTATGATTAGTTATAGAAGGTAAAATTTGAAGCCTTCTATAACTAATCCTTCCAGAGATTTATATTAGCTTCTAGGAGGAAGTAGTTTTATTGATAATACCTAGAACTACTACAGCAGAAGTAAAGTTTGACAAATATTGATGGAGCAAAAAGGATGCATCTGCTCTTTAATTAAAAATGGATAGAAGATAGATAGATAGATAGATAGATAGATAGATAGATAGATAGATAGATAGATAGATAGATAATATGTATATAAAATTATATTTATGTTTATGTCTCACTATCTTCTGTGTACTTAAGAGTAGTGCCACGGGAATCTCCCTATATATAGCTCAACAATAGCAACAACTCTGAGATGTAGGGTGGGCTGATAAAGACCAACTGACTGACAAAGACACACAGTAGGGACAAAATCATGATCTTGGATTTCCAATCCAAGTCTATTTGATCTATTAATATATTGTTTTATTATTTGTTTCAACTGAGAGAGTTGAACAGATAGTTCAGAGTAGAAAAGAGGCATT